TACCTTGTTCTATAATTTCACTCCACAGTGATTCAATTAGTGTGACATCAAAATGGCCGGCACAATGAACAATGGACAACTTACACTCTGAGAGATTGAATGGATCAGCAAAATCACCATACAACTAAAAATAAGACAACATTATAAATTAGGCACTTTTATAACATTTTCTGATACAAATTGAAGTACTTATACTCCGTAAAAAGTTTGAGCTGATTCCGACTTAAATTTTTCAATTTATGGCCATTTTTAAATTGGCAAATTTCTGAAAAAATCCCTGTACTATTATAGCCCATGGTTTTTTCTGAAAAATGGCTCAAAAATCACCTCTGATTTTTATTACATTTTCTGATACATATTGATGTACTTATGCTATGTAGAAAGTTTGAGCTGATTCCAACTTAAATTTTTCAAGTTATAGCCATTTAAAAAATTGGCCAATTTCTGAAAAAATCCCTGTACTATAGCCCATGGTTTTTTCCGAAAAATGGCTCCGAAATGACCCCCAATTTTTATTACATTTTCTGATACATATTGATGTACTTATGCTATGTAGAAAGTTTGAGCTGATTCTGACTTAAATTTTTCAAGTTACGGCCATTTTAAAAAATCAGCCAATTTCTGAAAAATTCCCTGTACTTATAGCCCATGTGTTATTCTCCTTATTTTTATTCAGTTCACACGTCCCATCCAGAGAGCAGAGTGAGGCATTGGAATGCTTACATGTTGTTTTATGAGGCAGCAAACGAAATTAAGAAAACACAAGACACTCATAAAGAACAGGACAGGTAGCTTACATGTATATCTACATTCACACTAGCATGTACTGCATTTGCTTGATTAAACGCCCAAACGTTTATTTCTTAACAGGAAAAAAATCAGGTAAAAAAAACAAAAAAGCCTCTAGTGGATTTGAACCTGCAACCTTCTAGCATTCCAAACTGTACTCCAACAGTTAGACTATCTGGCACAATCTCAATATTAAGAGACCATTCCAAACTCTACTCCAACAGTTAGACTATCTGGCACAATCTCAATATTAGGAGACATATGCTGGGTAAAATATGCGTATCTATAGTTAGAAATATTTGTCATGGGCATTTATTTAAGCAGGGCATTTGTTCAAGCAAATACAGTAATTTTACAGTATAAGCAAGAATTTAATCAATTTATTGTCTAAAATATTGTTATTAAATATTGTTTATTGTTTATTTATTTAAAGACGTCTTGTTTTCTGTTACTCCTGCTGGTTCAACTGATTACTGTATTTGGACAAGCACCTTCCACCTTACCCAGTAATGGTTAAAAAAATTAATTTATATAGTAATTTTTAATCTTTTCAGGTGTTCGACTGCATTTATTTATTGAGGACAGGATAATACTTGATTACTCTATGAATATGATATATGCTAGCTATATATGTATGATCTATGATAGCTAGATATATAAATATATGTATAAATACAGTGTAGGCAGCCACACTATCAGCTGTGGTTCTTTCTTGAGCCATTCAATAAATTGTCTTTCAGCAATATCCTCACTATTTTGAAACTAGAGAATAGGCAAAAATTTAACAATAATTCTAACAGTAAAAATAATTGTCTACCATTAAAAAAATTTGAAGTATTATAACGGGGTTAACATTAATGATCATAAGGTATTTAATATGGTGTTCCTTTTAAGTTTTAAATTATACTTGAATGCTTAAAAGTCTTACCAACGATTTCAATGAAGCAATGGTCCCTGGTATGTCGTCACCATTGAACATTTCTTGCTCATCAATAGTATCAATCAACTATGAAAAAAATTTAATTATTTTTATATAATTTTTAATCACTTTTAAAACTCACCAATAGGACATCACTTAGCAAGAAAGCCAGTTTCTCATTAGTCATGTGACCATTGATAGCATACAATTTAAACAAATCTATCTATATTTTTTTGAAAAATTTCATTGCATTAATTAAAGTCATACCTTTGTATTTTCTGATGATAGAAGATGTGGTTAGTATAAGGAAACCAGCAAGAAGAGATCTTAATAAGACACGACCAGTCCTACCACTGTATAAATAATCGTGTTATAATGATTATTCACAGCAGTACATTTTACACTTTATTGAAAATTATTTTATTACATTTTTTGATCGGACTCAGTTCAAAGTTTCTACACATCATAAGTACATGTATATGTATCAGAAAAATTGTAAAAATGGAGAATTCTCTCCTTTTTATTTTTGACAAAATTTGGCCAAAATCCCTGTACTATTTATAGTAAAACAGTAGAAATTAATAGTTTAACTAAAAGAACACACTACATTATTAAAGTACATGTCTACTTCTTTACCTGTCATAGCATTTCAAGGCCCAACTCAAGGATATCTCAATGGAGGCCTTAGCTTCATTTGCTTCCAATTTATTTTGTTCGCATGTTTTGTAAAAAATCTTAGCAAAGAGAGTCTCTATCTCTGAGACACTGAGATTACTCTCCATTTGATCAGTTAGATTCATATCTTTCAATGACTTCCATACATTCTCCTTGCTCACTTTATGCACTGTGTATAGGAGCAAGATTCATACTCAAACACTCATATTTTGGTACTAAAACTCACAATTTGTAATGACTTGAAGTTTCGTCAGTTTGCTAGCTACTCTGTATGCACCATAAGCTGGTCAAATGACATCTAGTGTCCCTGAAATATTGAAAACATGTTAATACTTTAGACCTACAACTTCTAAATAGTTTACTTAGTTCCTTGAATAGTACTGTCAGTACTGGATGTTCCCATTGTGTTCTTCCATTGCTGTGACTACAAAATAGACATAGTGTATCAAATATATTGAGGACAAATCAATATTTTAAAGAAGAATTCTATTCCAATCATTATTACTTCTTATAGTATGGTATTCCTTCTTGGGTTTCGGCTCTCTCCCAGCCAAATGGCAGTACTCCTTTAATGACAGGATAATGATGGTGGTTGCGTTAAGGGATGAGTCGCTTACCTAAACGAGACACCTACGGTGCATGGCCTCGCCCCTATAGCTGCTATGGTGCATGCCTGCACTGCAATAGCTGTTTGATTATCAGCATGAAGAGAGTCTGCTCAACACTAGCTTCCTGCAGTTGCACTTGCTCTTGAATACCTGCAGAAGTAGCAGCACTGCAGCACATACATGCAAGCAGCTCCATCCCCTCCCATGCATGTAGATTGAAGGTGTGGCATTCCATCATACTGGCATGATTGGCAGCAAGAAGACCATGTGAGAAAGAAGCTTCACTTTCTCTTTACTAATCAGCAATATATGATAAACTTGCTGACAAAAAAAGTTGCTGCCTTTGTATATTTGAGATAGTATAGGTACTTTAGTACCTATAACCCAGCAAGTTGTTGCTCTAGCGCTGCACAAACGAGTGACCTCAACAAATTCAAGTAAGTATAACTCTTCATCAAGTAAGATTTAGAGAAATCTGTTCATATTATTTGAAGGCCATGTTCTAATCTACTGAAAAATGCTACCAGCTATCTCTAAAGTGCCAACACAACGGAACTTGGCCCAACTGCTCGATTTTCTTACTTTGAAGCTTCTATACCTAGCACTTGTATTTGAGCAACAGAAAACAGTTAAGAAAGACTTTTCCACGCCAAAAAGAAAGATCTAGGAGTTTGAAACATGCTGTGCTAAAGTTATTGTTTATTAAAAACAAATTTCAGTTGTACAGAATGAATGACAGACAGACAGACACAACAACTACCTATACCTCGCGTAGGCGAGGCCAATGAGCTTCTTCATTGTTGTCGTTGACAGGCATCTTTTGCAAATCTTAAAGAGGGCGTAGCTCATTTACTAGGCGTGGCTCATAACAATATTCATTATTTTTATTACAAGTTGTCTGTAGATACTATAGTAAAATACACTTTTGTGTCAACAACTGATAATACAAGGTCACATGATTCTGTTAGCTTAACAATAGAATCTACATTGAAAAGAAAAATGGCACTCTCAAGCAGGTCTTGTTTTCTATTGCTCCTGCTGGTTCAACTGATGACTGTATCTGGACAAGCACCTACCACCCTACCAAGTAATGGTAAGAAATAAATTTTGGTAATTTCTAGATCTATATATACTCATATTCAGGTGTTCGACTGTACCTAGCTTATGAGGACAGGATAATACCTAATTACTCTATGATATATGCTGGCCAGTTTTATGATACTGATCAGAATAATGATGTTAATGATATCAATGATGCTTTGTGGTGTCAGAGTGCTAACAATGTTACTAATATCGGAGTGTGGTATTATCCTAATGGAACTGAAGTACCTGTATTTGATGGACCCATTGATGATCCATCAGCTCCCAGACCAGTGCACAGTAAGAGATTCAGTGGTCAGATTGCACTAGCTAGAAGAGATGGACTATCAGGATATGAAGGTTTATACAAGTGTATCATTTCTGATGAGAATGGAGTGAATCAAACTCTAGTGGTTGGAGCATATACTGATACTGGATACAATAACAATGGTAGGTGATGAATATAGACTATAATTAATGTACTTCTTTTACAGATGGTCCTGATGCTGATCCTACTATGCAGTTCTCTCTCCTCTCCACTAGTAGATTAGCTATTCCTCCAGTCTTCAGTCTCAGTTTCAATGTCTCTGATGGTCCTCCTACTACTGTCAATTGTTCAGTGAATGGGAATGGAATATCTACTGAACTGTCTCGTGTGATAGTGAATGGATCAGGATCTGTTACAAGAGTGACAGTAATAGTGAGACTGAGAGAAGCTGGTAACTATCAGTGTACTGTATCTAATACCAGAGTAACTGATGGTCCTATTAGTGGCAGTATGGGTTCTCAAGTAGTTGTTAGTCCTTCATCATTTAGTATATCAGGTTAATAATTAATATTAAAATAAATATCAATCATTATTATTTTCTCAGTATCTGATACTCCAACTGGTTTAACTGCTACAAGATTAAGTACTGGTTTAGCTCATGTAAGACTCTCTTGGTCTACTGTATCAGGAGCTACTGGTTATGAGGTCTACTATCAACTGTCTAGTGATACTCCTGTTAGTGTATCCAACACTAGTTATACAACAATCAATATAACATCAGTATTGTTTCAAGGGAATACATACACTTTTTATGTAGTATCTTATGGATCAGCTTCTCTACCTAGTGGTAATGCTTCAGTTATCTTAACATTTAGTAAGTTATTATTATCAATAATAAATGTCATTTTTTTGCTTTAGGTAATCCATTTGTTAATGACTTTATGGGTACATTAATTACAAGTACTTCCATTACATTAACATGGAGTCCACCAACTCCTGTAGTACCAATTAGTTATAATATTAATAGGAGATGTAGGAGAGTATGTAAATCATCATTCACTAGTTATAGTGAAACATCAGTTTCATCACCACATACTTCAACTGGTATACCTCCTTACAGTCAATGCACCTTTGATCTTATTGGAATATATGGAGATGAGATAGTTTATTTGGATACTAATCATTTTGCTACTACATTCTCAACAGGTATGTGTAGTTATACATGTATTCGATTAGTAATTCTTTCTTCATAGCCCCAACAGTACCAGTGGGTGATATTATATTCTCATCAGTAGAGTCAGTGTCAATGACTGTCTCATGGGATGAAGTACCTTGCAATGGAAGGAATGGACCAATCACTGGATACTACCTCACATACACTAACATCACTTCAAACACTAGTTATACTGTTAATATCACTGGAGGAGACAACAGAATGTATAATCTCACAGGATTAATACCATATACTAACTATACTGTGAGTATAATACCTTATAATTATAATATGAATGGACCAGCTAGACAAGAAATACAATTAACTGCTGAATCAAGTAAGTCAATGAAATATTGATCAGTTTATCATAATTCTAACTCAGTTCCTCCTGGTATCATATCTAATCTGATACAAACCAGTGCCAGGTTAACTGCAATCAATATCTCATGGAATCCTCCTACAATACCTAATGGTATCATTACAGTATATGAGATAAGATATAGAGAGTCTACCAGTACTGGTCCATACAATATAACTAACACTACTAACACTTATTACAGTATAGTAGGATTGATACCTAGAACTAGTTATACTATTGGAGTGAGAGCATATACTAGTATTGGACCAGGAGAATGGACTGATAGAGAATATAGTACTGCTCAAATACGTAAGGAATAAAAATATTATATACTATCTATAGTTTTTTATATTTTAGCTGTCATTCAAACCTCCTTTATAACAAAGCTCAGTTCTACAGCAGTGAGGACTGAGTGGAGTTTAGTTCATGGATCTAGTCATTATACTGTCTATTATAAGTCAACCAGTAGCTCCTCAAGAAAGAAGAGACAAGTAGAGACAGGAATGAGAGTATTCCCAGGTGGTACTACTGAAGGTCTAATAGGAGGATTAGATCCTAATCTGAACTACTTGTTCTCTATATCTATATCATTTAATGTTAATGGAATCATTTATGTAGGAGAGAGGACTCAACCAATGCATTTACTTTCAGGTTTGCTTGCAATATATAAATATTAGAATCATCAAAATGTGCTTTTCTGCATTTTATTATAGTTCCTCATCCTACTGTGACTATATTAGTAAATGATGGGGAAAACATTGGATTGATAGTCAGCATAACTGTAGTATATATTATACTACTAGCAACGGGCATAATTATAGTTGTGCCAGGAATTGTTTTGCATATCAAAAGAAAAATTATTCAAAAGAGGTAATTATATGCAGCACATTTATGACAATCATGTAATTTTATAATTTGTGGTTCATAGAAAATCAGATAATGACATTGTAATGGAATGCAGTCCAGCTTATGCTACAACTGAATTTAAAACAAAGTTAGTTGTATTAAAATTAATTATGTTGATTATGAAATAGATCAACTGTTGAGCCAGTGTATGATGAAACTAAGTCAGAGCCTCCTACTTCTCTTCCACCCTCTACTGAATATGAAACATAATGTACTCATCTTTTACGTACGCTAGATCTAGTTAGTAATGCAGATTATGTCAATAGTGGGTAAACAATTAATGTAACTATACATTGTGTGTTTGTACTATAAATACATGTATACAAATGTTTGCTGCTGTTAATTAAAATAACACTCAACACTAATGTTATCCTTATCCAACATGTCACAAATGGTTGCATCGCTTATTCTATATCTTATATTCACAAAGACATCTAAACTTAGAGTGCATTGTGTGATGAATATCATAAATGATAAACAACAATAGCTTGGTACTTCACCCACACATTAGCTAAGTATAGTCCCATGTAAACAACAGTCATGATACACAGCTATAGTCTTTGACTATAATAAGATTGAAAAATTATCATTTCAAAATGAATGTATACACAAGTGTATAGATAGTGTGTGGTGGAGTGTGTTCATTTGATGGTGTCAAGGTTCCTCTGGAGTTCTCTCTTGAGGTTCCTCAGTCCAGCAGTGAGTGTATTGATATCAGGAGTGGAGGGATCCAGTGTCTGTAGCTCAACTAAATACTTATCAATAGCAACTGAGGAATGTCTATAGAAAGAGAGAGAGGAGGAGGAAAAAACTCAAGCACCATACCAAAATACCAAGCAATTTTTAGTATTTTTTAACTTAGCATTTAATTAGAAATTTAAAAAAAAGATGGAGAGAGTGGATGGAAAGAAATAAAATACATTATTTTATTATACACAGTGTACATGTGTATTTCATAAGTTGCAAATACACATCTACTACATTTAAGTGTACATTTCAATACAATGCATGCACAATGGCCTACTTGGTAGCTACTAGTGAACTGTTAGCAGTGTAAGCTGATAGTAAAGCCAATAAAACTAATAGAACATGTAACGGTCGACCTACTGAACCCCAAAATGTATCCTAAAAATAAAATAAAATAAAATTAAGTATGCATCCAAATAAGGAAATGACCAAATATGGACACATACCTTTTCTTCAAAGAGGTTGTTGTAGAGTGTGAATAGGGTGGAGTAAGACACACCCACTTGATGAAATATGTCCGGTATGAAACCAGGGTCCCACCCCAGCTGACAAGAATGCTGCTCTAAAAGCTTAATGAGATAAGCTAAGGGAGAGAGAGAGAGAGAGAGAGGGAGAGAGAAAGAGAGAGAAAGAAGAGATGCATAATTTATTAAAGCTTTTTTAGTTTCTTTACCAGTTGGAAAGTAGCTGTCATTTCTTGAATACAGTTTACCAAGTCTCAGTAGCCTGTCCCTCATGCTCTGCATTCTAGTGTCTCTATCATTGCCCAGTGTAGACTGGAGCTCTGTATGGGAAGTGAAGTATTTTATACTGTATAGTGGGAAATTTGGAGGGAATTGAATTTGGCGAATTGCTAAATTTTGGTCCTAATTTTACTACATTTTAAAGATATAAATTGATGCCCTTATATGATACAGTTTCAGTTGATTCCAATAAGTTATGGGGATCAGAAAACTTTAAAGACTGGCTTTGTGTAGGAATAGTTACAATTAAATAACACATACAATATACTACAGTAATAGTACTGATGCATAAAGTATTAATTATTGTTACCTTGTTCTATAATTTCACTCCACAATGACTCAATCAGTGTAACATCAAAATGGCCGGCACAATGAACAATGGACAACTTACACTCTGAGAGATTGAACAGATCAGCAAAGTCACCATACAACTAAAAATAGAACAATAATATAAATTAGGTACTTTTATAACATTTTCTGATACAAATTGAAGTACTTATACTCCATAAAAAGTTTGAGCTGATTCCGACTTAAATTTTTCAAGTTATGGCCATTTTTTAAATTGGCAAATTTCTGAAAAAATCCCTGTACTATAGCCCATGGTTATTTCCAAAAAATGACCAAAAAATCACTCCCAATTTTTTATTATATTTTTTGATACAAATTGACTTACTTATGCTCTGTAGAAAGTTTCAGCTGATTCCGACTAAATTTTTTCAAGCTATGGCCAATTTTAAAAATTGGTAAATTTCTGAAAAAATCCCTGTACTTTTATATAGCCCATGGTTTTTTCTGAAAAATGGCTCAAAAATCACCTCCGATTTTTATTACATTTTCTGATACATATTGATGTACTTATGCTATGTAGAAAGTTTGAGCTGATTCCAACTTAAATTTTTCAAGTTACAGCCATTTAAAAAATTGGCCAATTTCTGAAAAAATCCCTGTACTATAGCCCATGGTTTTTTCCGAAAAATGGCTCCGAAATGACCCCCAATTTTTATTACATTTTCTGATACATATTGATGTACTTATGCTATGTAGAAAGTTTGAGCTGATTCTGACTTAAATTTTTCAAGTTACGGCCATTTTAAAAAATCAGCCAATTTCTGAAAAATTCCCTGTACTTATAGCCCATGTGTTATTCTCCTTATTTTTATTCAGTTCACACGTCCCATCCAGAGAGCAGAGTGAGGCATTGGAATGCTTACATGTTGTTTTATGAGGCAGCAAACGAAATTAAGAAAACACAAGACACTCATAAAGAACAGGACAGGTAGCTTACATGTATATCTACATTCACACTAGCA